AGAGAGAGAGACAGAGAGAGACAGAGACAGAGACAGAGAGAGAGGGGATCTGTTGGAATGTCAGTGTGTTATTATGGAAATCACCACCAACGCAGTATGATATGTCCTGTCTGGTTATACAGACCGTTGGGAATGTACTGATGTATGTTACAGATTAGGTAGATGAGGCACATGTCCTCTGTACAGACAAAACTAAATACTTTGTGCATATCAATATATATGTGAATGTGTACAGTACGTGTGTGATTGACAGAGAGATACAGAGAGAGTCTATCCCATGGCTTTGCATTTTGCTAATCCCTTTGTACTGATTCCTCCCCCTGTTATTCTTTTATTCTGAACTTGTGTTCTGCTTAGTCAGGACTGGTTCTACAGGTAAGACAAGGATATACAAAAGTCTCTCTCTCTCTGTCGGTATGTCTCTCTTTCTCTCTCTCTTTCTATTTTTATCCATCCCTCACACCCTCTATACCCACTCATTGAGCAGACAGATGTTGACAGAGTGACAGATGAGGATAGAAAAAAAAAACACGTGGTGTGAGAGAACAAGAGCAATAAAAAAAGAAAGATGAAAACAAAAGGTAAAAATGGACAGACCAGACTAAAAAGAAGGAGAGGGAAGTCATAAGACAAGAAAGGCGAGTTGGTCAGCAATCTTTAGCAACCCGCAGAGAAGTCTAGTCACTCTCTGCACACTGAAGGAGAGCTGACAGCCAGCACAGTGCCACTAGTGATACTCAGGCTGTGCTAAGTCAACAACCAAGTGAGCAGACGCCACCACTTTGTGTCTTGTCACACGTCCAAATATAGTTGCAACGCCTTCTTCTATTTTGGCTGTGCGCGACTGTGTCTAAATCACACTACAGCTTTTAGAGGCAACAGCTACTTTCAGTTGATAAAGATGTCATTACCTCAGGGTATCTGTGAGGCTGTTAGCACCAAAAAAGACTGGATGCAAATAAAGGCCCTTCAAGGTGGGTGAAAGTAGGGTTATTAGATGTTTGAGAAAGAGAATAAAATGAGAAACAAGTCTGAGAGGAAGGGCAGAAGGGGAAAAAAACAGTCTAAAAGGAATTAAAAAAAGGATAAAGGAGGGAATATGGAGTTAGGAGACAGAGGGAAAAGGTCAGGGCAGAAGGACTGACAGGGCAACCTGACACTGTTAAGAAAGTCAATCGTTCTCCTCTTGACTCCATCTCTGTTACTCCCTTCATCCCTTTCTCCACAAG